TCATACGTGTGCTCTCATTGTGCACACTGTTGTTCGCATCTTGCATTTCAGTTTACACGCACGATGTAGACGTGAACGTTCATGGATCGTTAGTTTTCATTTGGCTGGTAATCTCATTTCGTCTTCTTTTCGACATTTTTTGTCTATTATCAGAGATCTCTGTTATAGGCTTAGAGTAAGTTTTGTTTTGTGTTAAACGTTGTAGTCGAGAGCGCCAGACCTTCTGGCGGAATCATTAGGCCTGGATGCACTTCTTTCCCTTTCTCAGCCCCAGGAACACCAAGGCACCACCGACACGGAGGCGGGCGTCTAGGAAACGACATTCCACGTCTGGACCTACTAAGCCCACTTCGTGTCGTCGAGCTTCGCACGGATGCTCGGGACGTTTACAATCGTGACTTTCAATCTTCAACTGAACTCGTGGTGGTGTGAAGCGTTAGCGTTTAGTTTGTCTTTCCTAACGTTGTCCTGTGCTATTCGGCATTACAGATCGTCGATCATCATTCATCGATATGCGTTTCTTTTTTATTTTCTCGAGCGGAGTAGTGTTTAATTAAGGGCTAAAGTATCGTAACACCGTCTTTTTCGTTTGTGTATGTGTGTGTCTTTAGCCTTTTAATAGCATTCGTTAATAAATCTTTAATCTGCATTTATACACTGACATGCGGGAAATTTTGCATTCAGATACATAAAACAGGACGCCATGCATCTTCGATACGTCGCGCAGGTCCTGTTCATATTTTGTTGTTGGAAATTTGATTTTGGTCACGAAGACTAATGCTCTCGCATGTTTTATTTTAATCGCACGACTGTAAAGATACTTTATTTGTAAATTTCTTTTTTTTATTGGATTGTTAATACAAGGAAAAGAAGCGCCGGTTTCATTGCATTCAACGGCACACGAGTCACGGATGAACCGTGATTACACGTATATGCCTGATTTTGTAAAACTCTTTCCATGTAAGAGTGTTCTCTTTTTCGTCTATTATAATGTCACGCCTCTCGCTCGAAACGCTAAACGATCGAATGTTATTTCTTCATTTTCCTACGAGATCGACGATCGTCGAATGAACGAACGGCGCAACGTGCGCACGCGTCCATATGAAGAACGCGATCTAGTAGTGGATTTACGACCTCACTTTACTGACGCAAGTTGGACGTAACAGAGCGTGAAATCTGAAGTTAACGCGAGCCGAAATAAACCCGAACGAGTTAAATGATACACACCGCAGAGACAATAGACTTGTATAAATAGATTGAGCGTTTTCGCAGGAGATCATGGAAGGCCTGATTGGAAAGTTGCTGCTGACTTTATATATCTGGACTTTTTATTCTGAGTCTAACGGAAATATGGATCTTTATCTATTATGGATAATGTATCAATGGAAGGAGAGTTTAACTTCTTGTGCGCTTTTATTTGAGTCCTATAAAGAAACGCGGTCTGCATATACAAGTCTATTTGCAGAAACGTAACAGACAAAGGCTTCTCATGTGTGGTGGTATCAGTCGTTGAAGACTGTCGTCTGACCTTGTTACAAAAGAAGTCTCTTTTGTATCGGCTTCTATTGAATGTTACGCGCGCAGGAAACATCGAGAATTCTTTTACGTTAGATGGTATGTACAGAGACTGAGATATGTGCGTATTACTGTTTCAATTATACATACGTTAAGAATAAGAATGTCGCAGAAAAATTAGAATATCACACGTCAGGTTTGTGGAAACTTAGTGAATAAATATAAGCGAGTCTAGTTTGTATAAAATAAAAGAAGACGAGTTATTATACAGCAGATGTATAAATATCATATCTACTATGCCTTCCCGAAACAATAACCTGTAACGCATTGCTGGCTTTTGCAGCAGAGATAACAACCGTCCTGCCCTTTGCTTTCGCGAGTCAAGATTCACACAAAATTTTATTGTATACGATATATGAGTTATTATGTCTGGGTGTTGAATTTTTATATTTCATTATTATTTCCGTTGTTCAATGTCTAAAGCATTGACGAAGATCAGACTTGGCCCACATCGAGACTTTACTTGAAATATAAAATAGTCTCTTATATAAAATACCTAGAGTTAATGAGTGATCGTAAGGCTGATTAAAATTAAACAATATAAAAATAAGAAACGATAAGAACCGTTTACGGATCTAATTTCCATCAAATTTTGTTTTTTTAAGAATTAGATATGTTTATTTTGAGTATATAATATGTGTACACGAATACATAAATATTTCATCTTTTTACTTTACGCGAGAAAAGTTTCAATTGATTCAGTAAACAAATATTGCTACGAATTGAAGTGATCTCCTTCACAGTGGTCAAAAAAAAATTGGAAACCAAGTCCAAGTCCAAGTATAAAAATCAACAACCAGATCAACAAATTGCAACGTATACAATAATTAATTTCTGTGTAAATCTTTAATCGCAACTAATGATACTTGCGCACGGTCTCCTGTCTATCGAACATCGTAGTACGTCCTAGTGATAAAATAACTACGAAGTGACCTTGTCAACAGAGTTCTCGGCCCGGTGGATGAGCAGTGCAGCCTTCGTAGTAGTAATAACGACCTGTGCTCCTCATCAATGGATTTCTTACACCGGTGGACGATCAACGTGGTTACATTGTTCAAATGATACGTGCCTCTTCAACAGATTTCTCAATACCGTTGTCATATAAATAAAATTAACGAATTTTAATTATGTGACGCGCGGTACAGCAACACTTGTCGAAACCGAATCAGGATCATAATCGGCACTTATAAGTGAATGTATAAATTCGTCGAGACGGGAGACCGACCGCGTAATGGGAGACGGAACGTGCAGAGTTCTAAAACGTCGAAAGAACTTTGACATATCGGGACGGATATTTATAATATGACAAAGTGACTTAACAATGTATGTGTGATGTGTAATACAACAAATAATACGAAGCGTATATAAACATGTTTACTTGCGTTCGGCTTACGATTTTAGAAAAGTACGAACTATTACATATTTCATGATATATACAGAAGCCGGCCATAATGGTGGTAAAATGAATGATTCCACATGCAAGAATAAGTCTGAATACAATTGTTTCTCACGAGACTTGGTTTTCGAGAGAAACATGCCGAACGCACGTAATTGTTTAGCTACGAAACGACCTGTCGAGAAGGACACTTCAGTCGGCCGTTGTGTTTGTTTACATGATGTATAAGACTTCGCAGTTTGTAAGATAAATGTGGTGTCACACTTTGCGCATAAATAGGACTTTTGTGACATATGAATGTAACAACATTTTAGATGTAAGTCTCTTGTGATAAGTTGGTTCTTCGTCCAACTTTTGTCACAGCAGGCTCCTGCAAAAACGTTTTAGAACTCGGCGCGCTAATTATTGTAATCGGTCACCGAATGCGATCAACAATTATTGCAATCGGGGACCGTACGCAAACAGCATCAATTGCGGAAATCAAGGTTTATACGAAATTTAATCAATGTATGGGAAAACGTGTGGTGTTATCTGTTAATGTACGAGAGTTTCGCACTAACAATGGGCCGACGGGACTCTTATTCGCAGAGTTCCTTTTGAATTTGTTTTCACGCGAGGAGCCGTAATTGATTCTTCAAAATCATATAAAAAAGTATAGTTGACCCACCGATTTAATCTTATACGATTACAGTCTCGCGTGCGTTATCCATACCCGTGCAAGTGCGAAACTTTTTATTGTACTCGGGATGCAGTGTGCTTTGTATAAAGAACGAGCGAAATCTTTATCTTAGACTAAGTAGCGAGCGGTGTCCGAAGAAGTTTGTACAATTAAACTTGTTATGAATGAAAGAGAAAGTAGCACAATAGATAGAGGTCGCTTAGAATTCAGACTTTCTACGTGGTCTCAAGATTGCGAGAGAGAGAGAGAGAGAGAGGGGAGAGAGAGAGAGAGAGAGAAAAATTCTATTAAATGTAAATCGGCGGACGTACAGTATGTTTTAAATATTTATATACCGAGCATGCTACGCGAATTGTCGGGCAGTTCTACTCGAGATGAATAACGAGCTCTGTTAACGAATGTGCTGCATCGTATTCTACTATTAATTGTAGCATTAAGAGAAGGAGAGAGAAAAATCGGAAAAGTGAGCGTGCTAACGAGAAAAGAAAAATTCCAATGGTCGATCAACCGACTTCGTTGCTAACCCGCTGACAAATTTTAGCCACTCGCACATCGGTGGCGACAAGTATGCTGTGTGTTTTTTTTTCTTTTCATTTAAAACAGGCTGTGAAATAAAGAAACGAGATGAGGGGGAGAGACGTTACGTGTACACGTATATTTTTGTACAGAAACGAAAAAGCCCGACGATCGCGTCCACAATCGTCCGGCGTCGGGACACGACAGTGCGACGGTATATTAAAGGAGAGCAGTGTATTTCTAACAATATAGTACTTTCGAGAACGCGCGAACGCGCTAACGTTGATCATTGACCCTTTCGCTGCGGGGTGCGCTTAGAAATATTCGAAAGTTTACGATAAAGGTGAAATTGTAAAGGTTGCAATCTCTCTTGCGGAAAGATCAACTTCAACAAGCTCTCTTCTGCAGCAACACAACAGGCGTTGATCTGCGTTTTTCGCTAATAGTCGTCAACTTTCTCAAGAGAGAGAGAGAGAGAGAGAGAGAGAGAGAGAGAGAGTAGATTCGCGTACTCAACAGCGAAAGGGTTGACACTTCGATTTTTCTCTGTTCCTATATATTTCATTTGTGTTCGCTTCGGCCCGACAATGTATACATGGTCGTACGTTCTCGATTCCGACGTTTTGTCGCGAAACATACACATCTCGCATTCACATTCATGTAAGAAACAGAAAGAGAGAGAAAGAGAGCTTATTGTCATTAACAATCACCGCGAACGAAATGAGAAATCATGCATCGCCAGACGATATTGTTCTGTGTAACTGTGTTGAAAAAGAAAAAAAAAACAGGTGTACTGTATGCGTTAACCGGAGAGATACTTATAGCACCGTGTCGGATATTACTCACTCGTCTAGATATCTAAGGCAAAAGTGCCTACGCGTTTCTGTAACAGTACCAACGTATCGCGTTGATCTTCTCGTCATGCACAAACACTTCGGCAGCATCATTTCCGGGCAGCATAACGTGAGACAAGTCAGGCAAACGCGTCGAGTATTTTGAGGCAGGTCGGTCCCCGACCTCAAGTTTAGCGACCGATTCGTCACGATGTGAATGTCACATCTTTCTTGTAGATATAGTTTTGTAAATACACTTTGCGATCGCGCGACAAAACCGGACATAGTGACAGCGCGTACACACGCAAGAAAATTCCGCAAACACAGTAGACATTGCACTTTCGCAGGGAACGATTTTTTGAGACGGGAGATATGTATTTTTACGGATTAATTTATTACCGGGGCATGATTCCTCACACTCTTAGCGTGGTACTCCTTTAATCGTCGTCATCCAAGTTCGCCGATTGAATGTCATCGAACATAATATATACATATGCATATACAGAACACACATCGCCACTCTGACATTCTGAATTTCTCAAATTTGCGTTTTATAGGCCTTTGTAGCTGTTACTCAGTATACTAATCTCGCGCTCTTATTGTAATTAAGTAATTTATTTGAAACTCGACCAATGCGTAATTTAGTATTTGCTACTAAAGAATTGTATAAGACGAGACGTTTCTGTAATTTCTGACTGGAGGCTAACACGTAAGACGTAGCGATAAAAGTATATCACTTCGCAATAGGACCTTATTTGTGGCGGGCTTCGCTCCTTTCGATAAGAGAGTGATTTACTTCTTGTTGCATATACTATCATAGATGTATCTATCAATAAATCATTTGACGTCGAGGAGCGTGTCCGTGCGTGAGCCTTTTGATAACAGTCATGTCCTTCCTCGCAATATTCGACATCCTTTTCATTATGTGTCGTCTAATTTTGTTCTGTTCTGCGTTGAATTGTTGTAAAGTCTGGCGAACGATATTTACTATTTTATTGAGAGAATTGTTTGTTTTTATTGTTAGAACGAAGAGACGATTTTTCCTTCCCCGGAGAGAAAAGCTTCGAGAAATAATCTCGGGAGACGAAATCTTTCGGGGGATATACAGAGAGGAGGGACTCGTCCCTCCGCGTCTGCCGCGAGGTAACATTATTTAAAAGGGGTCGATGCCCGTGGAAGCGTATTCATGTAACGGGTGGGAGAGATAGAATGTCAATAAAGCGGCGGGCAGCATGAAAGTCGGGGGAGACGTGAAATTCTGGTTCACGCTCCGGAAAGGGGCGAGCATACGTCCATCGTGTGCTCCTCACGCGAGTTCATCGCACACAGTTGAGAAAATCAGGTATCAGGTGTCCATTTCGCGGATGCAAGGAAAATTCGTCTCTTCCCGCGTACATCGCGCCGTTCTTGCGTTCGTAACGCGTCGCAATAAGCGTTCTTTAATTGTAACGGGAGTAATGAAAAGCGCGAGTCGCATTCGTGTCATGCCGTCGATCGCATAAACATCGCGATGCGTCTCGATATCACGGGCAGTTGTGCGTAGACAGACTGACTTCGATGACCACGGGAATGAGTCAACGTGGATTTTTCTCGACTCAGCGTACAGCTTCTACCGCTACTCCATATGCGAAAAATGATTCATCGGATTCAAGGGTCTGCGTTCCTCCTTTGCGTACGGCAATACGATGAACTCAATGGATTTGTTGTTCGTGATTTTCGCTCGTGAGTATATCGCGAACAATGAATTATTACGCACAGCACAATGGACAAATACGTGAAAATCGAACCCAAACAGCATAGATCTTCACAGAACATCCTCTCTTTCTCTCGACGTTCTGAGAACATCACCCAGGACATTCCCTGAAGATCTTGTGCTGTCTGGGAAGATATGTTGAAACTTTGTGTAAGAATAAATTCTACTTAATATTCAAATATCATTGCTTGTCGGCAGCCAATCGCGTTGTCACGTTGTTTTTCCAAACGAACGTACATGTCCATTAACAATGTAACACCGCTGGCAATATCGCGCATAATATCGTGTATATTTCGTATGCGCATAAATATCGTATGTGTTTAGCATTTGGCATTCGAGCATCGTCGATGAAAGCCACGTTGCACGTCCCGAGGAAGAAGATCGAGGAGCGCGATAACGAGTTCATGCGACGGCTTGAATGGGAGCATCCGTTAAGAGGATACCTTCAGGATTATCGTATACGAGTTTGACAATATCCGTCTCTGGACCCTCTATAGCGCGACGCTCTGAAAGTCATCTGAAAGGTACAGCGAAATTATCTCGGACGATTCCATTCGTTTATCGTGATGCATTTTATCGGTACATTTCTGCAGCCGCCGTCGGTTATGCAAGGAAATTTTCTATCGAGTCTTTTTGCTTGGTGAAGCACATGATATGAAAATCGATATCGCTCTTTGCAATATCATCTCATCGTGCCTTATGACGTCAGAAACGCACACTAATAATTCCTGCAACATTGTAGAAATGAATTTAATGTACCCATAAAATGATACTTGAGATCAATCGAGAAGATGTGTAAAATAGTCCAAACGCTTTTCTCTTGTTTTAACAATCACTAAATAACCATATAATGACAAAGTCATGAGCAGATTGAAAAGGTAGATTACGCATCATGTTACAGTTTTGCTGTAATTTATTGCGTTAAAACAAGAGAACGTCCGGGACGTTTAACAGATGTGCTCGATCGATTATGCTATCGTTTTACAATGTCGTTTTATATTATATCTTTTTATTTCAACGTATTTTACAAGAATTTCTGTCGTATATTTTTTCTAATCTCGCTAGTTCCGCTGATAATCACGAGTTCCGCGGAGCCAGAAGCCTAGAGTTTGATTTATAATGTGTTATTTACTTCCTGTTTCTTTTTCTTTACCTCTTTCTGACTCACACTTTAAGCCTTAAACTAAAAAAAAAAAAAAAAAAAAAAAAAAAAAAAAAAAAAAAAAAAACAGCAAGCAAGGAACACGTTATTGTAGATTAGGCTTTAAGCTTAATCTACAATATGTCATTGGCTTCCTATTTCTTTTTCTTGATCTTTGACTCAAATTTCAAACCTTAAGCCTTAAACTAAAAAAAAAGATAGAGAACAAGAGAACAGAAAGCAAAGAGCACACTGTAGATTAGGCTTTAAACACTTAATTCGTGTACGTTGGTCGTGTGTATTAGAATCTGTCTATTTCTCTGTAGCTCCATTTTCTCCAAATTTCACTTTTTTTTATTTAATTTCCTCATGAATCGTATTTGAAAACGGAAATTTAAAATTTCGTTCGCGACGCCACAATAATGGACTTGTCGATCTCGGCCGCGATAATCGATAGTCAATTTGATCGCCGGGGTGCTACGTTTGAAGATGGAATTCGGCATACTTCAGGAGCGTGGCGCGGCGCGGCGCGGCGCCGGGCGCTTCGCGCGAGTTCGGTCGTTTCCGGCGGCGGTCGGGCCGGCGCCGCGCGCGGTGTTTGCCGCACCGTCCGTCAGTGCTCGCTGCGACTCGAACCGGGTAGGACGTTGGCGTGCGTACGTTAGCTTGGCCGGCTGACGATAGACAATCCTCCGTCGTGCGGTAACCCAGAGGCTTATTATTCACGAGCTACGCACGGATAAGATAGAAGGAGAGAGAGAGACGGTGCGAGCATTTCCGCGTAAGTAACGTAACGCAGCGTTCGGTATTCGCGACGAGTGAGAGAGAGAGAAGGAAGAGCGTTTTCGAGAAGTGCCGCACACGTTGCTTGCGTTGTGTCACGGCATAATACGACGCACAAGAGTCGCGCGATCGCGAGAAGGACAGACAGGTCGAAGGAGAGAAAGAGGCCGATCAGGAGCCGGAGGGCGTGCAGGAACGACGGAGAGACAGTGAGCGGGTTGCCGCGGAGAAAGGAAAGGCGGAAAGGATCACGCATATTCGGACAACATGGCCACCACGATCGACGACCGGCAGGAGCTGCTGGAGCAATTTCAAGCGGTGAGTAATCTGTCGTTCTTTCTCGCACTAGCTGCCGAGCCGGGCGCGCGTATTTCCCTCCGGTTTTCCGCGAGACCACGGCCGTCGGCGGTTCCTTATCGATCGCCGGTCTTATCGGCGTGTTCTCGTGAAAACCCACCCTCGTGGAACGCCGCGCCGGGTGTCGCCGCCCTGTCGCCGCCGCCGCAGCCGTCGCCGTCAGTTGGCGCGCCTCCCGCGCACCCTGCGACTCGGAGCTACGTTCAGGATGTTCTTCGTAATGCAAATTTGTCGCGTAATTTTTTCCCGCGTCGTTCGGAAGCCGCGTTAGGAAAAATGTCATCATTTCGGTAATCGTCGTCTAGACGGACGATAAGGTAACGATAGGTAAGATAGTTTTACTTGTGACGATAACGAGAGTTGCCTTGTCGTAAAAAAATACACGACTAAATGGATACGGGTGATCGGCTTGGCAGCGTAGATGCATAATAATCATATATATATATATATATATATATATATATATATATATATATATATATATATATGAACGAATATTTTTCATTAAATGTTATAAGTAAGATTATATGTTAAAAATTAACGACAGCATAAATGAATAATTATAAATATGTCAAAATTATTCAATTTGGGTCGATTTGAGAAATAATTGTTGTACAGAATTAACATATATTCGGCACGCGCGTCGTAGAGTTGCGACAGATACAAAAAAAAAACAACAATACACAATCCCGCGTTAAAATCTCAAACCGGTAGTTCCGGAGGTCATGCTAGATCATCCCGAAATTCATTGTTATGATAAACAACCTCGGGTTGGAGCGACAAATCGTCGATCGCATAATCGCGATACGGGAGTACTGCGACTTTGGCAAGTGTTATAGAAGGTATTCGGGAAGGTTCTCGACCGGAGTTGTTCAATTCTCCATATACGCGGAAAGAAAATGTCATAGTAAAAATTGACAGAATTTTGCAAAATAGATCGACACTCTGCAATAATATAATTTACTATCGTCCCGCTTCATATGTGCTACTTATATTTTAGGAACTAAAACATACTATTAAAGCACTTGCTGTGTTTCTAATAAAATCTTTTATATTTCTAACGAAATTTACTGCGTTTTTCAGCAAGATATACTTTACTGATAGTTTATTCCTAGACCTAAGAAAATAATAAAATAGTGAAATAATCTAGTAAAATAGTAAAAAATTTATATGAAAAAAGAATTATAGTATTTTCGTCATGTAAATTTTCGTTGTGTTTTCTGCGGAAAACAGAATGATTTTGAACCTTCCTAAATAATTTTAACGCCTGCTCTGGTCATTTAGCGTTTTTCGGAGCGGTGAAACATCAAGTCTGTGTGCACACATGCTGGTTGTTAAAATGATTCGCCTGAAGCACGCTCGTTGAGTACCTCGCGTTTAAGCCGCGCGGTCGTGTTTACGCCGCATTTACCGTCGATTGCTCTTTGCACGGTCTTTAGTTCGGAAAGTCGCACTCGAAAGTGAGACGATACCGCGCCGTTGCGTATTTGCGTGACGTAAAGATCGCACATCGAAACCCTTCTTTTCTCTGCTCCGACCTCAAACGCGCTCGAAGGAATTTCCCTCAAGCTGCAGCAGTCACGCGAAATTTTGTCTCAAGAATATTGCAATTGAAATTTCGTTTGATCTCCCTTCTGTTTGCTCAGTCGTGACAAAAGCCATCGCCAATAATCCCGGATTATCACTTATCTCACTGTATGTATCCCCATGGAATTATTAAACATTTGTATGACTTTTATCGTATTGACATTGATAAGCATCGTTGTTCTTTTTCTCTTCGATGACGCGATCGAGTGTTTGCAATTGCTAACAGATCATGGCAGAGAACAATGTGCCGTTAGCGGCAACACACCACCGCTGAACTGTTTGAAAATATCACATCTGTTCTGTGTATTTAATTTGAACGCATCGCCAAGAGAAGATGCGTGGGCGAGAGAGAAGCGATATGATACATCGATTAGACTTCTCCCTCGCGTTTCGCTCGAGCCACGTACCAAATATAAACGAGATCCAAAGACGTGACACGTTCCTTCGTAGTCTCTATCGAGAGTTAAATTTCATCTTTCAGTTGTCACTGTATTACTAATCAAGGGTCACATGATAATTATTATCTTATTTCCGTGCACGTCCAGAAAGAAAGCGTTTTTTATATTTATGACTTTTACATAGCATACACAAAAAAACCATATTCTTGTTTGGAGAATATCTTTATTGTTGATATTTTAAAAATAAGGTTAATATTAAAATGAGATATACGGCGTTGAATAATAAATTAGTCTACAATTAAAACAAATATAATCAAATTAACACAATCATTTTCACATATATAAACAACAATAACTCTTATCTTATTTCCGTGCACGTCCAGAAAGAAAGCATTTTTGATATTTATGACTTTTACATAGCATACCCAAACAAAACAATATTCCTGTTTGGAGAATATCTTTATCGTTGATATTTTAAAAATAAGATTAACGTTAAAATGAGATATATGGCGTTGAACAATAAATTAATTTATAATTGAAACAAATATAGTCAAATTAACACAATCATTTTTACATATATAAACAACAATAACTCTTATTTCCGTGCGCGTCCAGAAAGAAAGCGTTTTTGATATTTATAACTTTTATATAGCATACCCAAACAAAACAATATTCCTGTTTGGAGAATATCTTTATCGTTGATATTTTAAAAATAAGATTAACGTTAAAATAAGATATATGGCGTTGAACGATAAATTTGTCTACAATTGAGACGAATATAGTCAAATTAACACAATTATCATTTTCACATATATAAACAACAATATCAATATTGTCGTTGGCAATATTATTGTTTGGGCTTGCATTTGAAATAAACAGCAAATGAACACGCTGTCCACGTTTTTGAGCGCTTTTCGGTCGAAAAGCCTCGCTTGTGCGATCTCGCGGCGATTATTCGCGCGTACATTCGCGTGCTCGTCCTTTGGAGCCGTCGGCTGCATCTCGCTAGCAGAACAAATTAATTCTCACCTCGCGCGGCGACAAATTAGACGAACCGCCGATCTGTTCGCGCCGCGCCGGCTTTCAGGAGCGCAATCAGCTTCGTTACAGCGCGATTGCACTCTGCTCTTCGACGCGGAGGGCTTTTCACGGTTGATCGACCGTGAACAGTACACCGGCTCGTTTCAGAGAACGTTTTTTCTCGCGCCTCCGCGGCGCCGATCGTTGGAAAGGCGACCTGACTCCGTGGTACAACGTGTATATTAAAACTTGGCGGTTCTCGGGTCGATACTTAATATCCCATAACAATCTCATTTGGACATTTGATCGTGTGGTGCGACACATGCGATAGCCGTGTCCTACAACATTTTCAAACACAGGAAAATAGAAACAATCAGAAACAGGGATATAGAAATAGAGAAACAAGAAAAATATATAAAAATTTTATAATACTCCAGTCGAAATCTTAGCTCTGTGTTAAATCTTGAATTCTACAACGCAGTACACGGAAAAAGAGATTTGCTAATATGTGGACAACTAAAAATATTAACTGCAGGAGCAGAAATTTTCTTACTTTCGTAGTAAAAGTTATTTAGTTGTGATAGCTAAAAGATTTGCTAATATGTATATTTGTTATGCTAATATGTACATACATATTAGCAAATCTTTTAGCTATCACAACTAAATAACTTTTACTATGAAAGTAAAAAAAATTTGCTCCTGCAGTTAATATTTTTAGTTGTCCATATATTAGCAAATCTCTTTTTTCCGTGTAGGAGCTAAGTTGGTAAAGTAGGTTTAATTCTAATGGAAAGAGGTTAATGTAGGTTTCAGAGTATCAAAATAGATGTTGACAGGAATAGTAAGGCTGAAAGTGGGATCAAAATCTCGATTCGGATCATAACAAAAATATATACTCAAATCGCCGCGATAATACGACTGAAATATGATAATTACTAATAAAAAACGCCTCTTCGCAATCGCGCGCGAGAGTTAATAAGCATATACCGTAAATGGCTTGAGGCGCAATTACACTGTAAACCCAAGTGCGTTACTTTCAAACGCACTAGCGTGTAATTCGGCTGCAGCTTTTTTTGCACATTTCTTGCGATTTCGAATTACGTCATTTAACACGTTTGAGATGTGTGTGAATTATAATTTGATACGTTGAAATGTGTTAAATGACGTGACTTAAGAAGGCAGGAAACGTGTAAGAAGATATTTAGCCAAAACAACACGTTTGTATTTTTGCAATGTAGCCGATTGCGAGACAAATAAACTATATATATATATTCTTTTTCTTTTTTTAATATATGTTCGCGCTATGGTGGAGCATCGATGGGGCGTTTCGGGTCGCTGCGTAACGGTGTCGTCGAACTTTGTATGAACTTTTTCGTGGTTTTTCTCCGTTTTTTTTTTAGGACAGCTCGTCGCCGTTACTCCGTTACCGATCTATTGGATTTTGCGTTAATCCCAAGTAAGCGAACAAGCCTTCCCTCTCGGCACGTAGTTCAGTGAGGATTTATCGGAATATTGGCATTCATCTCGGTAGGATGAATGCCAGCCTGGTCGGTTTCTCAACTATAAATGAACGAGAAAGAGGGAGAATATATATGAGAGAATAAACAGTTCTCGGGTGAATTAAGCTTGAAAACTGCAGATGACAAACTGCCGACCTTCCCGTTGGGATCCGGCTTGATTTTCCTTTAATGGGATTTTAATTCAAGCTTTCGTCACTAACGCGACGTTGCCGATAGGAATGTAAAAGAAGATGACGCGCGCTTCCAATTTTGAATAAATAACGGGTCGAGAATACACGGCTGTTAACTTTGTACAAATATTCGGGTATTGCAAATTTCGTGAGAATTCTTTTGCCACATACCAGACCCGCGTTACAACAAGCTATCTTCCGCTCAAAAACAGAACGTTGTTATTCTTCAGTGAGTTGGAAATATTTTCGCGAAATATTTCCTGCAT